AGCAGAACACTTTGTTTTTGATAGTTTCTGAGCAGATCGTTAACTGAAAATAAGGAACTCGTGAGAGGCTTGACTGAAGCACTCTAGCAGAAAGGCAGTTCCAGATGGCCAAGCGCTGGTCGAGAAAGCAGATGTGCTTAAATAGGAACACACACATCACACTGTTCCACTTCTTCAAATGGAGCATAGGAGGCTGTCATATATCACTAAAACACATATACTGGTGCATTCATGCGGCAAAACATGCATTCACACTCCTTCTCTCTGCCTATTGATCTGGCTCAGTAACTCGGAAGTTAATGCCTTCCTGTGATGATGCTGCCGTTTTGAAAGTCCCATATTGGTTGAGTTTGCCCCTCCACACCTTATGTTCATTTTTTATACAGCGTTTGTCTGTTGATGAACATGTCCTTTAAATGCACTCACTATTTCATCATATTCATTCATTTTAAATCCATTTTACTCTGACTGAAATGGCATATCGTTTTAAGCCACAAAATTGTCTATTTAGTTGATGCAAAATGTTAAACTGTGTAAATCAACAGAATTTCTAAATATTTGTAAACATGTAAACATTTATTAAACGTATCAGAAATCTATTAACATAAATAAAAACACATGTTCTTGTGAAAACCTGAGCTCCAGAAATCATATTGTTTAATAATGTATTTGCTACTTTTAGATGCGTGTTGTGATTTGTAGGTGGTTCATAATTGGCAGACTGTCATTTTCCATATATACATATTGCAGTATTATTTTGTCATTTTATAGTACGTATATAATATTTTGTTTTATTTTAATATCAAATATTTTAATTAAAAAACTTTACAGTACAGTCATGATGTAACAACATCTTTTTCTTGTATTGTCTAGTCTTTCTTATCCAATAAACCCTGTCAAAAAACATTTTCGTCAGTAATTTTGATTTGACAACATTAACATTTGTTGGCCCCCAACCTTTCTGTCGTCTTGAGGTCAAGATCATGACCTTTCACACCATGTAATGAACAGATCCATAGCTCGACTGAATGACTAAGCATGAAATAATGCATATTTGGCATGCATTATAATAACAAATCCATATTGAATACTTACATACAGTAACACATTCCTTGTTGCAAAGGCCTCAGTTTGCTATTTTGGGATAGCCATGATTGATGAGCGATGCAGATTTGACATATGCTGTCATTGATGCACCTTAGAGGAGTCCACATTTGTCTCTCTCCCTTCCGATGCCGTGGAAGGCTGTGGATCAGATGTTTGCTGTCAGACAATGCTGGACTTAATGGATGGTGTCAGCAGAGGGGATCACTGCCATCTCCCTCCCCACTCATCCCTCCAACAAGCCTACAAAAACTGCACTCCATCTCCGGTGAAGCCAAGAGGCACTTCTGCAAGGAGTTTTTCCTGCTGCTCCAAACAGCTTGTCTGATTACAGGCTGATCAATACTTGGCCTCTCTCCCCCTCCTGGCAAGGGAAATGATGCGACACAAGAAGCTGTGACAATGACTGGGCCCTGGAGGGGGTGCGTGCATGGTCTCAGAGAAATGGTCCTGCTATTAACTCAGCTGGCCTCCTCTGCTGTGTCATTGTTAAACACTGGCAAGGAAGAGCAGCTCGTATTAAATGCCTGACAAATGCCATCATAATTGCACTCTTCGATTTTAATCGATGAAATTAGTCTCTTTTTTTTTTAAGGCGTGCCGTTGTCAGTCTGATTGCTGTGGAAATGAAATCCATCCATTCACCCCAGCCCTCTTGTTATGCTCTCTGAGGTTCTGTCAATACAGTTTTTCCCAGCTATGTTTTGACCATGTTATATGGCAAAATGGCTCTTCTGCTATTATGGCTGCCATTAAAAGAGTTAGATATCTTGCTCTTTGTCAGTGTCTATGTTCCCCTTCTTGTGTCTCCATTAGGGTGTTGTCTCTCTTAAAAACTCTTTGAACCCATAACCATTAAAGATGTTGAAAGGGGCACATTTCTCTCCAATATTCAGATTAGCAGTCAATCAATGAGTGCATTTACATGCACGCTTTTTCGCGCTAAACGTGAAGGGTCATGTAAACACCCTGAACTGTGTTCATTTGTCGGATAAAGGTCATTAATTGTTGCAAAACCCTGTAGGCACCATAGTAAACATTTTATTTTTTTCTGGCAGCTTATTCGGTGTGCGCATATCTGCTTACATTTTGACGTCAACACCAGAAGAAAAAAAAACAGACAATTTCAAAACTTTATGTAAATTTGATTGTAAATTGTCTATTTTTATAATGACCTATACTACACTACTCAAATTATTCTGTTCTCTATTTTAATATATTTTGAAATGTAATTTATTTCTGTGCTTGCAAAGCAAAAATTTTTTCTTTGTCTTCAGTGTCACTGTCACGCTCCCTACTGTGAGGAGCGAGGAACGAGGAGACGGAGGGGAATTCACGAAGATACATACTTTATTATTTCACACAGAACCAGGCACACACACGTAGGAAACAGGTAACGACGTTCAGACTCGACAAAGAAACATCCGACAGACTACACTTTAAATACAAGACATAACGAGGGAGTAAATTAAACGCACCTGAATCAAATAAACAAACACAGGTGGAGACTAATGAAGTCAATGAAATAATCAGAACAGGAACATAACCAAAAAAATGCTAAACACTGGGACACAGGGAGCACATGGGGAACAAAACACAACACAATCCTGACAGTCACATGATCCTTCAGAAATCATTCTAATTTGTTATTTGGTGCTCAAAAACATTATCAATGTTGAAAACGGTTTTTGCTGCTTAATATTTTTGTGGAAACTGTAATACATTACCATTCAAAAGTTTGGAAATGAATACTTTGCTGAATAAAAGATTCAAATTGATCAAAAGTAACAGTAAAGATATTTATAATGTTAATAATTCTATTTCAAATAAATGCTGTACTTTTGAACTTTCTACCCATCAAAGAATCCTGAAAAAGGATAGCAGTTTCCACAAAAAATATTAGGCAGCAAAAACCTATTATTTTTATTTTGTATGTTTTATGAAGGGCCATGTGACACTGAAGACTGGCATAATGGCTGCTGAAAATTCACAGAAATAAATTACATTTTAAAATATATTAAAATAGAAAACAGTTCTTTTAAATTGTAATAATATGTCACAATATTATTTTATTTAACTGTATTTGTCATCAAATAAATGCAGCCTTGATGAGCATAAGACATAAAAAAAAATACATCTTTATTATTCAAAATTTTTGACCGGTAATGTAGTTTTTGAGAGTTATCAGTAAGGATGCTTGATTTACTGATTTATTGGCCTTCTGTAACATGAAAATAATTATCAGCCTATCGTATTGGCCAGAATATTTGCATTTTGTTGTAAACACACTCAATATGTGTTTATCAATAAAGATTCTGAATCATTTACATTTCCTCCCACCAGTCTTGAATATTGGGTTACATCCTTGCTCATACTTCATTGATTTCTGATAGCTTACACTAGAATCGGATACTCTAGAGTGTCGGCTCACTTTGAAGTTATTTTGCCTGATACTGCAGAGGCGAGATTAGTGATATGATGTGTCCTTTGCCATACTGTGTAATGCCCCTGGTCCTCTGTGTGGGTCACACCGCTTATCTCCCCATCAGAGGCGGCCTGCTAGCTTTTACAGCCTCCGTTATTTACGGCTGAGCCAGCATGTCTCGCTCTCACTGTCTCTCTGAGGCCCCGCCATTTCTATTGAACGCTTTTATAGTCTCCCCACCGTTTCCTTGTTTGAAACAATATAGCCGGGACTGTTGTTATTGATTCTACCGGATTGTGCCCTGGGTAAGTGCTCCTTTGAGCCTTGCTGCTAAATAAAGCCATCGTTCCAACAGCAGATGACAGCACTCTTTAGATCCTGGCTGCCTTCTAATGGCTCTAGTATTACTCATATGTTAATTGATTGGGCGGCGGAGGAGGAAGCCGGCAGTTAGGTGGAAATGACTCTGCTCAGCACAGAAGTCTGATGCAGGCCTTTCAGAGAAATAAGTTACCAAGCCGAGTGACAATGAGGTCAATCAACTGCACAGAGAGAGGGAAAATTACTTTGATGATTAAATTGATCGGAATTACTGAAGCATCGTAATGGACTACCTGCCTCCAGCTACTATTTCAAGACTGGTCCTCTATAACGTTTACATCTCAGAGCACTGTAGAAAATTATTATTGTTGCTCTCTAGTTTACTTACTATTATGAACAGTGTTGGGGGTAAAGCATTACAAGTAACGCGAGTTACGTAATCAGATTACTTTTTTCAAGTAACTAGTAAAGTAACGCATTACTTTTTAATTTACAAGAGAATATCTGAGTTACTTTTTCAAATAAGTAATGCACGTTGCTTTTTTTTTTCCAATTTATTGATTGACAGCTCTCCTGTCCCCATGTTGAGAGAAATCAGAAGATGTTACTGTAGTTCTTTTCCCTTCAGTCTGAGGCTTATTCATTTAACTTTTGGTGTGAAAAGGCTTTTATATTGCCCAAAAATATAACTTTTTTATTTTAAAAACAAACAAACAAGCCCTGTCCAAATTTAAAAAGTAACGCAAAAGTAACATAACGCATTACTTTCCATAAAAAAATTACTAAGTAACGTAATTAGTTAATTTTATATGGAGTAATGCAATATTGTAATGCATTACTTTTAAAAGTAACTTTCCCCAATACTGATTACGAAGCTCTTATTACTTGCAGGAACAGAAGACATGCATCTCATTGTAGCTTTTCTATTACGATGTACTTCTATTATGATATGCCAACTAATTATGGTTATTTTATATTTTGTAACATCAGTTTGTTCCTCTACTTAAAATGATCAGTTTACCCATTATTGTCCCATGTTTTTTTAAATGTTGAGATTCTTTTTAATAGTATTTCTTAAGTAGTATTTATTATCTCATGAGTTTTCATGTGATGTTGTCAACAGAACAAGACAATAGAGTTTAGTCAGGGTAATATTGCCAAATTTAGTTTTTGATAGGAATGAAAATGAGGCTGTGAGAGATAGAAGTACAGTGTGATCAATGGGTTGTACTGTTTTTTAACAACATACTGATTGTTCAGTTGACGAAACTTCATAAAACAGTTTTGAAAGTTGTGAGTTGTAAACATTACGTGATCTTGGACTTTTATACAGTGCATGCCATTGTAAAGATTATAGCCTTGTTTTCATCCATGTTAAATTGAATATGGCATCTAATTAAGGTCTAATTAAACCTAATTAATAAGGTCTGTAAGCGCTTTGCTCACCATGATGTGTACTTTTCTCACAGAAAACACTTTGAAACATTTTGAACAATTTAAAATAATGTAAATAGATGTAATATTTGCACAAAAAGTTTTTTTGGCAATACAACTTTAAAAATAATTTTTCAGTTGAATAGGTAGACCTACGTAAATTTTTACAGTGATGGCACATTTTAAGTCTTGGCAATATAATTATTTAAATTTAAAGGCCTCCAGTGAATTTAGGGTCAAAAATGTAAACTAAAAAGCCATACAAACTGTTGCCTTCATTTTTTCCGAACACCTCCTTCTCATCATGTCTTATTTGTCATCACCCTGCAGATGGGAGAAATGACACAAGGGGGCAATCGACAGGCTTCAGATTGCAGCTCAATGAGCCAAACAGCCAGAGGAAATGTTTGCAGTTTAGGCGGTTAAATGCAAGACAAACATCTGGCCTGTCACTGTATAATCCCAAACATAATCCAATTGGCTGCACTCATCTGATGGTGTTTTCAGGGTGTGCGTAGGGAACTGCTAAAGTCAGATATTATTCTTCTGTGTATCTGAGATGCTCGCCAGTGCTACTCCTTTGTTAGTAATGTTTTTGTGGCCATATACGCTGGAAGCCGTGCTAAAAAAATATAACCCAAGTCACCCGCAGTAAACGGCCCATTCATCCTCCGTCGTTTTCCTTGTATCTCTCTTTCTCTTCCTCCCTCCTTCTCTCTTACCTGCTCTGTCTTAGGCCTCATTTCCTTTCTTGTCCCATGGATGATTAGGAGCAGCCTGCAGCATTTATCATGGGTTGAGAGGAGGAGAATAGGACAGTTTGAGGCTGAAAAGGGGCAAAAATAAGGGAATATCATCTTAACCCATTTGATCTCCAGACCTACAGATATGTGATGGATTTTAAGGAATATAGAGTTTGTAAAATGAGTATGAACCTGTGCTTTGTATAACAGAAATTACTCTCTTATAGACTTATTTAGAGTAGAATAGAATAGACGGCTTATTTAATATGACATGAAAAAAAATGAGGCTGTGAGGGGCAGAAATATAGTACATTCAAAATCAGGTCTAATTTTCTCATCCTATTTAATCCAGATATTTTTTTCTCATATTCTGTTGACATTGACTTTAATGTTTTTCTGTTTGATGTCCCTGAGTAAAATAATAAGCCATTTTGATTAATTAGCTCTTATTTTGCCTTAAAATTATTTTTTATAGTTCCTCTGAAGTAAATCAAAGCCCAGTAAGCAGATATGTCATAATGGACTAAATATGCCAATATTTTCTGTTTTTGTCTCTCCACAAATCATCAGTTTTTCTCAGAAATGTGACGTGGTTTCCATTTTAGTGACATGTTTGTTTCTGAGGTCAATTTGACTTGTATCTCTACGGTTTCGCATGCGAGAATAAACTTTTTTAATTTAATGTTTTAAATTTGATGTCTCTGTCTAAGACCCCATATATTAGCAATGTTATGTTATTTCTTCATTATTGAGGATGTGTAATCAGAGTTGAATTACAGTTTATAATCTCTTAAAGTTCGTGGAATTTATGAATTATGAAGCTTATAGTAATGTTGTGTCATTTAGATGTTAAAACCCCAAACAGAACATTTTTGTTTCTGTCAAATTAAATATGATCTATTACCTTACTGTTGCTAATGCTGTATTCTCTTTGTGATACCGTGATGGTATTTTGTACATTGAGCTAATTTTTGCTAATGGAAGGGCCTCTTTTTACTAGTCGCTAATGAATATTAATCACTAATCACTATGCGAGGCACGGTTAATTTGGCTAGCTGTGCAAGGGCACCATTTTCTGTTTATGTGTCTTTATGCGTGTCCAACCTGCTATTCACCAACCACCACCGACCACCCCCCCACCACTGGCTCGCTGCCAGGCAGAAGCATTATTATGATCATCAGTCAGAGAGAGGGGCGGCTAAATGTCATTATTGCATGCTGCAAGTGCCTCTCGGGAATCTGAGGCTGCCCGTTTAATTTCCCTAACAGCCTGAGAAAATGTTTCTTTGCATCAGTACTCTGGTCTGTGGCAAAAAAAAAAAAAAACATCTATCAGCCACCACGCAATTAATGACATAGATCATTTACATAGTCACACAGCTAATTTTCATAATGTTCCCTTTATTATCAGAGGAAGAAATTAACCCAGGAATTTATTTACATATCCACTGCAAATGGTAACAGTGCGCTAATTGGCTGTTAGATGATTAATAGGCTTACAGCAGATGCTAATGAATCATGCACTCACTGTTCTGAAGGTGCTCTTGCAGTGTGTTTGTGTTTTGGCAGCATAATTAGTCTGATAATTATGTACTTGTTGCGTTTGCTTTCAAGCAAATACAATCAAACATTGAAAAGATTAAAGTGGATTGTATTAGTGAGAGCAAGTGTTAGCTCTAGCACTAAACGACCTCGGCTAGACGATTATAGATTTTTGTTGCTGCTTTAAGTTACTACTTGAAAAACGAGTGATGATTTCTGGGCAAGGTAGATTTGTGAACCAAAAACAGACAAGCACAAGTTTCAACGCTTGAATCTAAGGGAATATTGACAAATTGTAGCATGCAACTCAGTTTGAGTGACAGTTTGAGACTTAATTAGGCAAATGAGACCGTCTGGCATATAATTCAATGAAAACATCTGTTTCCATTTCTAACTCAATTTCAGGGAATTTATTTTTACCGAGTGTTTTTTTTTTTTTTTGAGGAATGTTGCTCTACACTTTAGTGAACTCTGAATGTTTACTTTATTTGCTAGTGTGTGTATGTATATATAGTGTGTATATAAACACACACATACAGTCTTTCATTTATCAAAAACAAAGTAGTATAATGCATATGCGTATCTTTAACAACATCAGTAATGAATCATTAATGATACTGACCCAAAATTGGCTTCATTTGAAATGGACATCACTGAAAATAATGGTAAAATCCAGTTCAGAGAGTAAGTCAGACACAGTGTTATTTTAGTATCATTGAGATACTAATATAGTTTTTATTAATACTTTGAGTTAGATTTAATTTTTATAGTTTCCATTTTCACTTTAATTTTGTTTAAGGGAGACCTGACTATGAATACTTGTGGCTTATTAGATTAACATTGGTATTCGCTGTATAAATGTGAAATAAAAACAGTCTAGATGTTATAGTTTTTAATAACTGAAAAAATCCTTTCACTCGTTAAAATATGTTAAAATAATTACACTCTGAGTTTTTTTTTTTTAAGTTATAAAAAATATTTTTTTGTGTGTGTTTCTAAAAACAATAACCCTGGAATCAGCTCATATGACCTGGCTGTCACCCATAATTATTATTATTATTATTTTAAAGAACTGGCTTATAAGAGTCATTTGTTCATGAACCGGACTACAGTGGTTGTGCTGTAAGGTTTTGATTCACTCATTTGTTTGAGAATTGAACTACACTGTTCATTTTTGCATGCAGACAGAGAAGACTCAATAGGAAAGTGTTTCTTGCCATTTTTCCTGACTCTATTTTTATGAATTTATTTATTTATTCATAGACTTCTGACTCAATTCACAGCACAACAATTTCTTTTGTAGTGACACTGAAACACTAGCATAAATATATTCTCTATATGTTATTTTGGATAAATTAATAAATACTTTGTTTTTAGATACTGTAACCCAAATTATACAGTTAAACTCCTGATTCAGACATTAAATGAGTGTGATTATACTGTTAATGTTTGGATGAACTCTTCAATTATGTCCCTGTAACAGTATCCAACTGCATTCTGCATATTAACGGGCCTTAGATAAAAGCAGATCAAGAGAAACCCCCGGGTGAAATCGTCCAGGACTGCAGAGGTGCACTGCCCTGTAATTAAAAGAGTCCAGTAAGTCCATTGACTCTGCACAATATCCTATAATAAAACCCCCAAATCGGCTCTAGCTGGAGAACCATTAGAAAGCATTGCTTATGAATATTTGATGCAAATCCTCCTTTTTGTCTTGGACACAGCTTGAAGCAGGAATTGCATTGATCTGCTGTTATAATCACAGATTAAAAAGCTCTCCCCAAACCATTCCCTGATTAAAGGCCTGTTTACATGTCATACTCGCACACCACTGCTGCCTTTTCATAGGCCTTGAACAGGCCCCCATAGGCTGAACCGTGCAGCTAAAACCAACTGAAACTAATGGGCCCCTCACTGGCTGCTGAGAGCAGGGTTTCTTTTAGATTTGTGTTTCAACTCGTTAGTTTCTAGATTTGGCCAGAGTCTATAAAATGTCCCTTATGAAATATTAAATTCAGCAAATCCTCTAGGAACTCAGCTAAAAAGGGAGTTATATCACTTTGTCTTTGCGGATCATTTCGTCGCAGTGACTTGTGTGCTCTGACCGCATAGTCACCAGAAAATGGTCCTTTGAACCTTAAAGCCTTTACGGAAAATAAGAAACAAACCGCTGTTATGTGCGGTTTTGTGTGTGCTACTCAACCTCTAAAAGAGCAAGAGAAACTGGGCTCAGGCACAAGAGTTTCTTAACCTACTTTTCAACAATCATTAAGTATTTCCACTGAAATCTACTTGAATTCATGATGTGTTTTTGACTGTATTAGATGGTTCTACCACGAAGACAAACTGGAGAACTTCTTTAGTCTCTGTTCTCTCATTCCCTGGCTTCATGAGACTGTTTAAACAATTCACAATTCTCATTTATAACCTCCACTTTGTATGAGATACATTTTGCCAATCATGAAAAATTTAAGTTATCAAATAACATCAAATAATGGCACAGCAGCTAAACTCATACTTAACCTTTCTGTTGGTAAGCCTGGATTAAGCACTGACCAATTCTTTCTGCCAAAAGCAGTTACATTGAGGATTGACTCTTGGGTCATTTCTAAATATTAGTTTTTGTGCTGTTATAAATAGATGAATTATGCGTCAAATTAATAGTTCATGTATCCTCATGTTGTTCTCATGTTTTCATTATATTGAAATTGAATGAGGATTGGTATTTTCAAGGTCCAAAATCGAGCTTTTTACACTGCGCTTAACCCAGGTTATTGTCATTCTAAACCCAACTTTTAACCCCAGGTAGAGCAACGTTTCACAGCGTGGTTAACATGGCTTTTTACCTGGGGTTATGAAACCCAGCTCCAGAGTAGGGTTAGCAGCGTTTTTGTAGTATTAACACCGCATTGTGAAATGTGTACAATGTGAAATGATGTGGTGATAAAATGTTACAGCTAGATGCTTATCAACAGACACCCGATCGTGCGCTTTGGACAGTCATCTGCTTTGAACACATGGAAAACATGGTCACTGAAACACTGCATGTTGTATAAACAGTAGTTTTAGAGTTTGAGTTGGAAAAATGTCAAATGGTGACAGAAGGTTCAATTCGTGCCTTTACAGTCCGATAAGTACATTCAGTAAAAACTTGATAGTAGGGGAGAGTGGGGTAAGACGAGCCATTTTTTACTTATGTGGTCCTCAAGATAAGGGAAAATGAGGCAGCAGTGCAGTAAAAGTATCGAAATTAATTTCAGGATGTTTCCTGTCATTTTAAATTATCAGAAGGTATCTATGACAAAGGGTTCTAAAAACATGGCTTCTTATAAAAAGTGTTCCCGTGGCTCAATTTGCCCCAGGTTAAGGGAAAGTTGACCCGGGTCAGTGGGTAAGATGCACCATGGGTGAAATTTTAAAATTTAAAACTTTTAAAAACGAATTTAATAATAACATTTCTTTTTACAAACATTAACATTTCTTTTCTTAAAGCTAACTTAAACAACATAAAACAAACCAAATGAAGTTTAAATTTCCGTCTTTAATTGTTTGCATTTCTGAAACAATATATTGAACACCAAAGATGTAACCGAATAAATGTCACTGAAACTAATAAACATTTTAGTCAAAAGATTCTTGGCATGGTAGCTTTTCTGTAATGTCAAACAGGCCATTAGGGACTACAGGTGGAAAGATATATATGATTATAATGTGATGAAAAGCATCTTCTGGTTCTTATCGGAGAAGGATTTGGTGCACTTGTAAACTGTCTTTATCAAATAAACTACAAATAATATGTATGTATGTGATAAACCAAACCAGTTACGTAATATCACATTAAAATACCAGTTTATACTTCAGAGATTTAACTTAACTTTAATACCTTATGGTGGGGTAAGTTAAAATGCTGGCTCAATTTACCCCACAGCATTTGTGTCACTTTGCCCCATAGCTGACATTTTGGGAAAAAATGACAGTAAAAGTGTACAGTTGCCAAGATACAGGGGGTGGGTCAACTTACCCTCTAGCTCAACTTACCCCACTCTCCCTTATAGGAGGCAATATATGATATGAAAATGCACAATGCTAGAGCCAGTATGTAAACTGGTTGCGTGCTGCATTTGTCCAATCAATGGCACTGACATCGCAAATATGCAAATAAGAACATTAACCCAGGGTTTAGGAATGTACAGTGTGAAATGTTAGCATACGAATTCCCAGGATTAACTGTTAAACCCGGGTAAATTATGAGCAGTGTGAAATGTGAAACAAGATAACCCAGGATTTTGTTTACCTGGGGTTTAGAATAAGTGCAAAAAGCCCTAATGAGTCACATGAAATATTCAAGTTGTCTGTGCATATTTTTCGTCAGTGCAGATGTAATTCAACAATTTGATATTGAAGCTAAAAAGAGAGTGATGTAGATTTATCTGGCTTCTTGTTTCTGTCTCCAGAAAGATGGATGGCAGCAGGTTGAGGGGCCCTTAGCAGTGTTCAGCATGTCTGCCATCAGATTACAGGCTTCTGGGAGCCCAGTGCTCCCCGTGTTCACGTCAAGAAGGGGCTTGAAGCATAGCAATTATGGAGAAATCACATAACGTATGGTGCGACTCTTACCTTCACTTGTCATCCTGACCACATCTCATTTGCACAGCCTCTCATCTTAAGTGGCAATGAAAAATTGCTATAATATAAAAGATTACATAATAAGCTATTTGCATCTCCGTATTTTTGAGTTTCCCTTAAGCATAGCATAGTGCAGCTAAGCTCTTGTTCAGTGGAGCTGCTTCATGTCTAGAGCGGAGACAGAACGGGGCTGCGGGTCAAAAGATCAGCAATCAAATCAGTGTAGTGTTGGGTTGTGGAGAGTACTTGAGTGACAACTGTCACAGGGTGCATCCAAAATCGCACATTATAAACTCTCTGCCTTCTTGGATGAGCTCTTGTGGTGACATATGCGATAGTGACCTCAAAATAAGGGCAAGTTGATGAGAGGGTTTGGGACAAGTGAATTAGCATAGCTCAGGATGCGTGTCTGAGGCGGCTCTGTGGAGATTCGTGTACACTTGAGTTGCCCGCTCACACACTGTCCTTCTAACCTTCACTTTGTGGTTATACGATCAGTGCATGTTTAACGCTTGCCTGGGTTTTAAGCCACGCTGAAAGTGCCCGAGAATTAAAGCACCATGCACTTTCGTTAGTGTTCTGCCTTTGGGAACGGTCCAGCTTTGTAAGATCTGATTTCCCAGCTTGTCAACATTGATTATGCACTGCTGTGTTTGAGAAAACACAGTTTTCCTCCATTCTGTTTTAAAGGGCTTGTAGGAGCAGATCTCTCTTTGAACCATATGACTCTGAAAGAGTTGGTCAGAACTGATAAATGATTTTTAGATGTAATAAATAATGCTGAAAGAATAAGCATTATTCTTAAGCATTTTACTCATTTTGGCTATAGTTGGTTTACTTTTTTCTAAAAACTTGAGGAACACAAGTAATGCATCTCAACGCAGCTTTTCTATTATAATACAATATTGTTTGTTGCTGTTATTTTAATCAGGTGAGTTAGATTTATGCACTTTTTGTGTCTAAATAGGCCTACACTGAAAAAAGTGTATTTTTGTTGTTGTTGTTCGGTCCCATTCATCCTCTTCCCAGCATGAATTGAGGCATGAATAAGTATTTTTGGATTGTTTGACTGTTCGCTTGTTTTATTTATACCGTTTTTTGTTGATTTTGCTGTCACATTTAGTAACTTAGTCTTGTGATGTGAGGATGAGTTTGTTTCTATTACTCAGATTTATCAGTTTGTTGATTATTACCCTAGTTGTCATTAATTTACCAAGTTTTCCGGTGTGTGTGTGTAGCAAATCAAAGGTGTTTAATGTGTTTATTGGTTTGTGAGTGTTTATGTGTTGTCATTAGTATAAATCAATAAGCACTTTGCTCACCATGTGGTTTTCTTATATAAGTACATCATATCTAGCATTGTGGAATATGAGTATGAAGAGCTTTTTTTAAAGTGATGCAGCTTAGACAAACTAAATCAAGGCAATTGATACAATAAAGGCAAATGCAAAAAGTTTAAATCTCTCCTCACTTTACTCATATGATATAATAAATCTGAATGGCATCAAATAAAAAGTGTCGGCTGATGATGTACAGATGTGGATAGCAAAATTCTGCCCCAATCATAACTGTGTCTGTCAGTTAGCACTCAAATGCAGCTGGTTCTTCCTAACTTGTTTATAGTACTGGAAGGAAACATCCCTGTGCTGTCAATCAAAATGATGGTGATGTCATTATATCCACTGTGAGGGAGTGAGTGCTGGATGAAGCAGGCCTGACCTTGTGGACCACAGCGGCCTTGCGAAAGATGGGAGGCTTGTTGAATAGATAATAATCAGGAGCAGAACCAGCAATGCCAGACAAAGACTCCTGTTTCTGTATGTTGATAACTGGCTGCTGTGTCTGGGCTGAGACACCCGGATGATGTTTCTTCTTTCTCTTTATATGAAACTGGATGATGAATTGGGTAAGGTATAGTCTTAACTTTTCTGGATACATTCTGAAATTTGGTAAGGATAGACAGAATAAGATGAAACGAATCTGATCAAAGTGGCATCTTCAGGAAATTTTTAATGGAATAGCCAGAGGCGCACAATAAAATTCCTAAAGCATGGCACAATAAAATGTACACTGGAAAAAAGTGGTTATTTCAAGGATCTGTTTGTACCACTTTTGACTCACATTAAACAAGATTTTCCCACATAAAACACATTATTTAGGTTATCTGGGGTGAAAATGTTTTTTAAAATGAACCGTAAAAAAACAAACAGTTTGATATGGTAATTCCTGTGTAAATACATTTATACCGCTTCTATGCATTACATTTTCTAAATGTGTATTTTGATTTAAAACCATATTTGATGCTCAGTTCCATTACTCTGTGTGGTGAAAAGCTAATTTATTTTAGTATTAAATTATGATAATTACGATTATTTCGTCACAGTATGTGAACCCATTCAGTAGTGAATGTGAAATTATCATTCTTAATTCAGTTAAACATAAAGCTGATTATCTATGGAACATACACTTGGCCTAATGAGACAGAAAAAAAATGTGTGAAAAATGCACTCACAATATCTTTAGATAAATGAAAAAACAGTAATTTTCAGTTACAGATGCCAATATAAAAATTAGCTATATATAGTCAGCCATGATTCATTTATTCTGGGAAAAAAGATCCAGAGATATCATCATTTCTAAGTTGCTTTGGATAATAGTAAATGTAATGTAAATGTAGATTAAAAAAATTTGAACAAAGAGTCTGGCCTAAGCGGATAATTCACCCAAAAATGAAAATTCTGTCCTCATTTCCTCACTCTTGTGTCATTCCAAACTTGTGTGACTTAATTTCTTCTGTGGAACATATAAAATATTTTGAGAAATTTCTCAGTGTTATTTTTGTCCGGACAATGAAAGTCAATGGTCAAAAAACGGTCCCGACACTTTTCAGAATATCCTATTTTGTGTTTCTTTCAGAAGTAGGAAATGCATGTTGGTTTGAAACGACATGAGAGTGTCAGTGATGACAGAATTTACATTTTTGAGTGAACTATACCTTTAAAATTGCCCAAATATTTTTGGGGCGATTGTATCTGTGTAAATTGGGATGAAACAAAATAGCCAGATACAACATAGAAGTTTATAATTGGAAGATAGTGATAATACGTTATTATGGGTCAGCTTAAACACCTGCACCTAGCTCTGGTGTGATCACAATCATCCTGTTACGTTAAGACTGATTTCAGCACAGGTTGAGGTACCAATCAATGGAGAGAAAGAGAGAGTCAGGGGCCTCTCTTGCACTCTGACTCTGTTGAATACTGATTGTCTCTCTGTCTGCCGCCTCTGCCACTGAGCCATAGAATTGCTCTCTTCTCATTCTCCAGCACTTGTGCCTTCCCTCGCTGATGGACAGCCGATTCATAAGCCGTTCCCACTGAAGAGTAACATTTCTCATTTTGCATCTGATTCCTCCCTAACAAGGCGATTGCACCGTTGCATTTGAATACGGAGATAATGAAAAATGTTATGAATATTTCAACAGTGTGACAAAAGAGAAGTTTGTTCGATGGCTCTGTCCTCTGATCAATCCCCACCAGACCAAACAGGCTTAATATGTGAGAACAAGCGATCCAACTTATCTGTGATGTGAATGTATAATGTTAGGATTTTTAATAACTGCAGAGTGGCCCCGGGGCCTGTCTGCAAAATGGCTGGTGCACTTTGGTATTTGTGCATTTCATTTCTGTTGAATCATTAATGTTTCTCTAGGCTAACAGCTCATCTGGCAGCAGCAGTGGGATCAAAGACAGGCTGAACTAAATGCCTGCATTGAGCGGTACTCCATCAAAGGCATCAAGCCTTTTTATTTATCGCATAAATGCGTGTGTTCTATTCTCAGGATGTTTTCCTAATGCTATATACCTCTTTCATGCAGCTCAGGTCAGGGCAGACAGAACAGGCCCACTGTGACCTTTGACCTCAAACTTGAACTTGTATTGTGTCATGCAAGTAGGTGCAAACAAGCATCTTATCGAATAGGCAACTCAAGGTTGAGTATTCCAGATGAATATGCACTTTAATGGATGTGTATTATTATTTCTGTCATGGCCAACACGATCTGTGCTCACTATGATCAAAATAGTGTTTGTACAGAGGCAATTACTTTGATATAATTAATCCTAAATGGATAAGTGGATCAGTGTACCTGGCAGAGACTGTCAAGGATACTGACAAAGCATCTTAATAGCAATCTATCTCATACCGCCAAGATACACTTTTAAAAGGCAAGGTGCTGGTTTAGAGGTTAAGATAATTAAAGTCCAATTCTCTCTTTCACATCTTACAATGATAGTAATTAATCTTGCACATCTTCAGACTGAATTGCCAAAGTAGTGTGTAAGAATGCTGAATTACTTTGCTTTTTTAGGTAGCCTTCACTCAACGTCTTGCCATTGCTGTTTAAGATATTGGGCACTGTTTAGTTTTAAAGTGATAATTCATCTAAAATTGAAAAAAAAAAGTGTCATTATTATTCACATGTCATTCCAAACCTTCCAAATCCAATAGAAAGTCAATAGGGTCCAATGTTGTTTTGGACCCCATTGACTTTTACTGTATGGACAAACATTTTTCAAAATATCTTCTTTTGTGTTCTTTCAAAAGAAAGAAATCTTGCTAGTTTGGAATGACATGATGACAGAATTTTGGGCAAACTACCACGTTAAAGAATTTAAATCAAGGGCCATTTGTTTGAAAATTGCGGTGAATTCATGATTATGCATTGTTGGCTGTCGAGCACTGCAGGGAGGGCAGTTTATGTGCAAACTATAGAACACTTGAATGTAAACGGCGGTGTACTTTACCCATCTAAAGCCCTGATTTACATTGCATCCTAAGCAGCCTTTCTGAGCCCAGTGAGGTGTGAAGAAATGTAATGAAACAGAGCCTCTGTTTATGAGGGGAACATTCATATTCATTAGCAGTCAGTCATTAGCATACGATGCCTGTGACGAAGCCTGATGCATGTTTTATGAGCACGGTTAATGGTACATTGACAGCGCAATAAAAACGAAGGGAAAGTGTGTGTGAGAGAGAGAGACGCTTCCCCAGGAAAGCCACAGGGCGCTGGGCGGGTTATTGATTCTCCCCTGTGTCCTATTGATCTCTGATGTTTTCATCTCACAAAGGCCCTGCTAAGCTGCCGTGTATCTGAGAGACACACTGACAGCGCAGCCCATTGACTCTGGCTATCAATAGCCGCGGAGCTGGATATCATTAAATCCTCATCATTGTGTTTTTATCCTCCACACACCACTGACTGCCTCTGGTGACCTCCAAATGAAGCTGCATGTTGCACGGGTCGACACCGTCTGGCACAGAGGACAATCCGGTGGTACCTCTATTATTATAAAAAAAAATTATAGTGAAAAAATACACTATATATATATATATATATATATATAGTGTATTTTTTCATTACATTTTAAGTTTTCAATTTTTCCCACATTTTTTTCTTTACAGTACAGAAATTTGCAAAATTAAATATATAAATTTCACACTGGCCTTGGGCCAACAGACTATCCTTATTGTTTATCTCTGACATTAAAATGCTTTAAAGGATTGATTAATCATTTATTATTGTTTATTGCTTTATTATTTATTTGATTTAAATTTGAATATGTTGACATTAGTTAATGCATCTTCAAGTAATATGAACTTACTATGAACAATAATATATTTTTAATAATTAAATGTTATAAAAGTACTGTTCATTCTTAGCTGATGGTACTTAATGCAATAACATCATGAATGAATTTTTTAGCTTTTATATGAAAGTAATAATTACATTTTTTAGGACAAGCACCAATTTTCTTAAAAATAAGTAGATAAATAAATAAATCTAGCTTTTCTTTACAATAGTGAATATGACAAATGGAAATCTTTTGCTCTTGCTAGCAGCATAATTGTAACAATTTTTACTTCAATTTATAAGTCTAGACTGCATGAGTAACTAATAACGAGTTATTAAAATGCAGAATATTCCATAATTTGAAGCAGATAGGCACATTCCTATTGCATAATGCATGCAGGGAAAGATCAAAGGGAAGTCATGTGTGAGACATGGTGAGATTGTCTCCTGTTGCTAACAGCCCCTGTGTAATGGTTTCTCCGGCTGTTAATGGAGGTTTTGCTCTCTTGCACTCCCCTGACTGTATACCTGGGGGGGAGTTTAGCACGAGGTCGTGGATGCTTAAGGAGTGGAGGTTAGAGGGAGGAGTCAGTCATAAACATCGCTCCAGGCATGTTTCTCATCACACCGCAGCTCTGATCACATGTTTTCTTAATATCTCTGCATCTCTCCCATATCCTTTTCCCGCCGCACAATCATCTGTCCTTGTTATTATTGCTTCGCCCCTTTCAGCTTATTGATCATGTGATGAAGAGTGTTCTAGCGGAAGAAGAAGAGTCATCGTGGCTCCACTAATCTAAGGGTTTTCATTTTGCCGCTGTGGATCTATGGCGCAGGTTATTGATGGATATTCTCAGCTCCTCAGCCACTCCATCCATTTAGTTTATTTCCAGTGCAGTTGTTGATTTGTTGTGTTCTAATGCCATCCACACTAGCCTAGCCAAAACCCTAGCCATAAAGTCTATATATAATCCACATTTAGACCACTTCAATGCAGCATGGAGTACATCCATTAAAACAAAGTATTACATTTTATGCTCATCTTTTATTTAATTGTCAGTGGTATTGGGTATATGAAGGTATGAAGGTATACAAATGTATCATACCAGGGCTCAACGGTAAAGATTTATTAATTTATTTAAAAGGGTATGCAGTTCTACTAGTGGTTTACTTGTCCTGCAACCATTTTCAGTAGCCCCACCACAAAAGAATGATTTATTTGTATTTGGATTAAATATTTATATATTTTATATTAAATATTAAGTTTTCTAAAATATTTTGTTTTTATTTTATTTATTTTTCATTTTTATTCTTGACAAAAATAAAATAATATGCAACAAGTTGGAAAATATACAAATAAAATTGTAATTTCATAAAAACATGGCATAAAAAGGCATACAATGCAAAAAATTAAACTAATTAGTTTGTATTTTTTATTCATTACCCTTATATTCTCATTGAAACTGGCCCAAAACTACTCTCAAACTGGACCTTATTGTTCAGCTCTATACTTTGAATGTTTCAATTAAAGACATTTTAAATATGAAATCCTTTGCTTAACATCCATACATGTGTGAAATTTATTGATTTGTTTACAGAGGTCATTAAGGTCATGGTTGCATTTCCTCAAAATAGTCAATTATCTTAACTATCTTAATTATCTTAATGATATTCCATGTCATACTATGTGGGCAAGAGTTTCAAAACAAACAAATTCATATAATAAGGCATTGTTTGTTTTTTTTTTCCGTTTGTTTTTTTTGTTAGTACAGAAGTTCTGAACTCTGAACTGCTGGTAAACTCCAACAGAGTTTATAATTAGATATTTCTACATAGGGTATATAAAGGTCAGTCCTTTGGAGGGGTTCACTATTTAATCAGGCATGCTCAAACATTGTGTACAGTCAAACCGGCAAGCAATATTTAAAACTGAAGATGCACTTTAGCAGCCTCGCTGAGTCTGTGGAAAATTATTTGTCTCGTTTAATTGAGTTGATGATGTTTTAGCATGCATATTCAAAGAGGATGTCATATGTGACACAGCAGTGCTCACCCCACCGCTAGTTTGCCGGATGGAAAAAAGTGAGTCAAAGAGGCCATGCAGCACTTGTATCGAGTCGTGTTGCAGTGTGTCAAAGTTATGAGTTTAGCAGAACTAACGAGGTTAAACGAACAAGTTCCCTTTCTTGAGGGCAGAGTGTGGGAGGAAGTTAAATCTCCAGAGAACGAGTTTGCTGCCTTGCACCATAACTCCGAACAGGAGGTGGAAAAAGCTCTAGCTCGCACAAGTACACAAGCTTGTGTTGTCGCTGAATGATTTGCAACCGCAAGACTGTTTTTAAAGTCCCCCCTTTTTTCCCCTTCTATCGCAATGCGCTGCTGTTATCTCTGAGTGACAGTTGTGGCTTGAACGGTGGTGATATATCCTGACTGGGAAAGTGAGACACCATATCTTGAGAGAGAGAGAGAAAACAAGCCCACAGACCATAAACCACATGCGAGCAGCCTCTACTTCAAACACTAACAAGTTGGAATAACATTTTGCTTGGGGAGGCTTCTGCTGGTGGTGGTGGCAAGCTGATTTGAAAGAAGCCAGATTTATTACATGGCTTGTAGACCTCAGATGCAAGCAAAACCGCATTGCATAAATAGCGGGGGTTGGGGGCGAGGGGTGTCGCTGGTGGAGTTCCCGATTGCTCGATGCAGACCCTCAGTTTTTCACTTCCATTTCCCTGCATCTTTTTTGTTTGCTCTATATTAGGCCGGTCCTCCTGGGAGAATGTGAATGCTTTCATTTGGAGCTGCGTGCTAAAACATAAAGGCGCGCTTTACTGGCGCATCCGACGAGAGAGAAAGAGTTCCAGGCGTGTCTGACTCTTTCTGAATAAGCTGACAGGGAAGTAAATTATGCCAAAGGGGGGACTGGATGTGTCAACTCTCTGTGGCTGGGGCGCAGCTAGTTCTGTGACAGCATGGGGCAGAGTGCTAGGCTCCACACTAAATTCCACTTACGCTAACTGGCAGGGCTGTCTGTTGTCAAGGCAACAGCCAAAAAATTTCACAACTGACCTCCCAGCATTTCTTGCCAGAGTGTACCATTTACCACGCTTCACTGATTTCTATCTCTTTATCTCCTTTTATCTATGACTGTCTGTTCCTTAATTTCACTCTCTTTCTCTCCACACCTCTTCCACTCGCAAGGTTTCTCTGATGTGATAACAGGAAGTTGGAGCCAATGGGATCCAAATGTCTCTGTGCACACACACATCGTAATCGTACCATTGCACGTAAGAGCTTGCTCTCATCTTCACCCACATAAAAACCAAAGCAGCTAAACAGACAGCAGGGCCTAATGCGATAACTACTCGCACATGTCTGAACAAAGTTGCGGCTTTGCTGGTGGGACATCGACTCATGCGCCATCTGAGATGCACAGTACGAAGCGAGTGTGAAAAATGTAAGCGAGAACACGCTAGTTTAACCACACCACACTAAAGGATGTGGCATGGAAAGTATGGTTGAGGGCTCTTGGTTGAAACGTAGATACTGCTTGTTTTTGTTACAGAATAAGGTCAAGATCTGAGTGTGTTTTCGGTTCCTCTGTAATATGATTCTGATCTATTTATGTTTTTCCATCACACAACAAAAGACAGAAATCACACTACAGAGATTAGTGTAGATTTACCTTCACCTCAGGCTTTGAAAATAAGGTTAAGAGACAGGCTTTAAAGAACACTTCAGTTATTTGGAGATACATCCTTTTAGTGGATTGTGTATGTTGCAGTATGTACAATGTGACATTCTTGAGCCTTCGCTAAGTATCTCTGTAGCATATTTAAACTTGAGAACTTGCATGCCAC